ATACTTTGCAAGTTGCATCCTGAGATGAAAGGCTATACAATGTGTTCAACATAATGACTTTGTTCGACTTTCAATCACAGGGGTGAAATGTTTTAAAAAAGAATAACAGGGTCTTTTGAATGAATTTTAATCATAAATACTGATATTTTGCCTGTAGCTTTATTTTAGATCACTTTTAAGGTTACAAGTGTGAGTTTTATACCAGGTGAGCGATGCAGGCCCATTGGGCCTCTTGTTTTGATAGTTGTGTGTCACAAACCCCTGTGTTGATTTTGATAAGTTGTGTGTCACAAATCACTGTTTATTCTGGTAACTTTTGTTGTCACAAACCCCTGTGTAGACTATAGTAAATTGTGTGTCACAAACCCCTGTGTTGATTTTGATAAGTTTTGTGTCACAAGCCCCTGTGCTAATTATGATTAGTTTTGTGTCACAAGCCCCTGTGCTGATTCTGGTAAGTTGTGCATCAGAAACCGTTTACGCTACATACCAGTTAAAAAGCAAAGATGTTATATCTGCAATTGTTGTTGTTTCTATGTCTTGAATTTGTTTATAAGTCTTCCAACAATGTCATAATATGTCATCATTTTTTGTGTACCCTCATCATCAAATATTTTGTTTAATCCAAATTGTCATTCATAAAATATACTTGATAGATTTTTGTGTCGCAAATTATTTTTGATTGGAAATTAGTGCTTGTCACTATCAGATAATCATGTATCCTTTTAAAGTAAATGGTTTTGTGTTACAGCGAGTCAGATGGTGTCACGACTCCCAAGCCAGTCCCTGTCCCAGGCCCCAGTGTTCACACAGACAGAGTAAGTAGACAGGAATGTTGGACTTAGGTCTCCCCTTATCAACTTATGTTAGCCAAAAATATCACACAAGAAGAAAATATTTTGATTTAAAGAAAATCTTGCACCAGCCTTGCCAACAAAATATTTTAGAGTCAAATGACAAGGTTTCTACTTTTGAAGTTCTTGTTTTAGCTAACAGGATGCAGTTTTAAAAATGCTTGTCTCTGAATCTTTCTACATAGCTGTCAACCTTCCCTCATTAGGAGGGAGACTCCCTTTTTTGACCAAAATCGACTAATCTCCTTCGAAACGCCCTCATTCAAATCCAAACTCACACAAACTCAAAATTTACATCCTGCAGTCAAATGATCTGCTAGTTACTGCAGGGTGTGTGTGATGATCATAACGGGTGTGTCTGAATCAAATGAATGCTTTTTGCAATTATTTTGATACGTAAAAAGGGAAAGATAAATTGAGTAAAGCAGCTTCAGTCGCATTTCACGCACTTTCTCCGTCATTGGAAATGTGGAATGAGTGAGATCTCATTGCGGTTTCAGAGGTTAACACCTATGTCACAACTTTAGGTGAACTTCACATGTTATATATCAATATATAATGATAAGAGTTATGCATCCTTGGTCATATAAAACAGGACACCAGATAAAAATCATGGCAGTATTCAAATACATGTGAATAAAATATTGAATGTAGTAATATGAACAACCACCAAATGGCAAAACAATTTTTGGAAACACGCAAACTTGAGATTACAACTGATTTACCATAAGTAACTTATCAGTTTATAAATATAATTGTTATATTGAGTAAATGTAAATATTGATTACGCTCACACTGACAGCTAGCTTACAAATTCAAAATGTAATACAAATTTTCAACAATCTTACTTTTTCTTTCTGATAATTGTTTTGGTATTTGAATAATAATGACTAAGCGTGTGTGTGTGTCTTTATATATATGTTTGTGTTATGTTATGTTATGTATATATATTGTAACTGTATTGTATACTCATGTAAAAATTTGAAAAATTGAAAATTAAATATATATTTTTATTAATAACCACCGTTGTCAAAACAAATATTTAATCAAAGCGTATCAATAATCCTATTTTATTGACGGTTTCTGAACTAGAACTGAAAACAGGGGAGTGAAACAAGAGAAGACGACTCCGCCACCAACTACATCCAAACCTCCCTGTGTAAAATCCTCTCCTGCACCTCTCAGTGTAAAAGGCAGAGAATCACAGAGAATAAAAGGGCCATCTCAAGGAGATCAAGACACAGCAACAACCTCTACAGCTAGAGGTCAAATTTCACAAGCATACAAATCACAAAACTCAAGTCTTAAACAGAAATCACGATCACCTTCCCCTAAGAAGCAACAGGATACATCAAAAATGTCACCTCTCAGAAGAAGTCCTAGGTCAAGGTCTCCATCACCAGTTCCTGTCACAAGTAAAACTTCCAATCTGAGGTCAAGGTCACCAGCACCTGCAGATTTGAGGTCAAGGTCACCAGCACCTCCAGATTTGAGGTCAAGTTCAAGTTCACCAGCACCTCCAGTTTCCAAGAGGATAAATATGACGTTGTCTTCTGTTCCTGAAGTTGTGACCAGTAACTCAGCATCCCCAGTAACAAAAAAGGGGGGTAAAGGAGGTCCCAAAAACACTAGAAATAACAGTCCGGAGATTGTGGTTGTTAAAAAGGAGAAAGTTGTGCGAGAGACAAAGACTCGACCTGGAAAGAGGCAGATTATTGAAGATGAGTCAGATGAGGACTACGGTTTTACTAGAAAATCTAAACGGAAACGTGACAGTCCGGATGAGGTTGATAATGAGGACGATCCTTTTGATTGGTCAAGTCGTAAAAGTGCCGCAAAAACCTCATCAAAGTCGGAAAGAGGTTTGAAAGTAGAAAAAGATGAAGATATTGTGATAGAGGACTCAGAATCTGAGACAGAAGACTACAGAGGTAAAATGTCAAGGTCTAACAAAGGTCAAGAGGTCAGAGTTTCTGACTCGGATTCGGATTCTGGAGTCAAATGGACAAGTAAAGGTAAAAATAGGTCACCAAAAGGTCGTAAAGGTCAACAGACTAAAGATGTAGTAGAATTAGTCGAGGAATCACAAAAAATAGGTCAAAAAAAGAGAAAGTTAGACGATTCATCAGATGAGGAGGATCAAGGTCATAGGTCAAGGAGGAAAATAAAAGAAGAACCAGGAATCAGCACATCTCCGACCTCCTCTAGGGGTCGCCAAGGTAACACTAGGGTGGAGGAACAGGAGCAGACCGACAGACAGGAAATGGTCACTAAACAGGAGAGGATAACTCCGCGTAAACCAATCTCAGACAGAACAGTAGGCCAGGAGAAAGTACAGGCAGGAACACGCCAGCAGGAGGTAAACTTTGACATGTTTGACATCTTAGTAATGCCTTTATCAAAGTCAGTAATTATATTGGTTATACGGTAAGTATTTGCACATAGTGCACACTTTTTGAGGGGGAAATATTTCGATTATATCAAGAAAGTGGTGCACACTTTATCTGTTAACAATCCAAAACCAGTTGCAACCATTTATCGGAAATTTTCAGGGATTTTCAGAAACTTTTGAAATATATTTTTCAAATAAACTATTTTCTGTTGATTTGAAAATATTTTTTATANGTAGCTTTTTGGAATAGAGCTAACCAATTTGAGAAGGAAAATGACATTGACCTACTTACAAGATCACAGGGAAAAATATGTCATGCGACTTCTGAAGAAGAACCAAAAAGCATAGAATCTTAAAATAATATTTTGCTGGTAGTTTCAACAGATGGAGCCAACAAAGTTTGCGAGGGAAATATTTTTAGTGCAATATAATATTTAATGAGAATATTTTGCTATGACTGCTTTAATATTCAGGTGAGCGATACAGGCCCTCTTGGGCCTCTTGTTTTCATCATATTTGTTCATACATTTGTCAGATATTGTTTCTGTTTGCACAAAAACCTATTTGTGTTTCATTTAGAGACAAATATGCTGTAAATCTATGAAACATCATTCTGTTCATAGCTGATTCAAAATATTTCATCTGTTTATAGCAGAGGATGTCATCCCCATCACTTCCTGGATTCCTGTCTGCAGTAAGAGGACAAAATGAGGTACAGTCAACCGATGACTAAACAAGGGTTTTCCTTCTTAAAAAGGCACACTGACAACTCTTACGTTCAACTTTTTCCTACCAGGCCAGGTGGACAGTTTCATATTTAGAGTAATATCTTGCTGGCAGATTGTGAAACTTTTTTACAAGTCCAACCTACAAATAATTTCTCACATAAACATATTGAACATTTTTCACTAGCACTGAGATGATATTTAATAGTGCTGGGTGTTGCGCTGGTGGAATTATAAATTCCTGAAAAGGATTTAAATAGTGGAAGAGAAAAGGTAGAAGAAAGACAAAAATAGAGAATTCACGTATTACTGTCAGGTCAGCAGATTAACTTAATGTTGCTTCACTCTTTGGGTATCAAATTACGGTAGACAAAGACTGAAAACCTACAGCTCTGCACACAGCTCCACGTAAGTTGTGTCTGATCATCATGTAGTGGAATGAAGCAGGCCAATTTGTTTTCCATGGAAGTATACTTTGAGAATGGTTTCTATGGTGATATGATAACTGTATTTGCAGGACGAGAACAATCACCATGGCATCTATGTTAAGGAGGAAGGGATACCAACCGACCTTGTTCAGACAGTGTTCCTTGACCTTGTGACTCGACGACCTTCACGACCCCAAAACTCTCCAGAAAGATCAGGAGGAGATGTTCCTCCGGGATATTCACGATGGAAGGGCAGCATCGTCAAGAACTTCAAAAAGTTCAAGAAGGTATATATATCGAAAGATGACAACTAAATGTGTGTATACATACTTATGTCTGCTCTTTAAAAGAAGAGAGACATATTGCTTTATTACCAGTTCTTCTGGTTCTTCTTAGTTCTGATAATTTGGTTTTGTCCTGGCCACAATTTTTTTTAAAAAGATAAAAAATATATAACCTTTATTTATTGTACAACAATTTTGAAACAACTTCTATCAAGTTTTATTAATCACTCTTGTTAGCTCCGATGTTAGCAAGCAGGGGATCATTAATGTGGAAGGAAACTGAGTTCCCGGAGAAAACCCACCGGGTTGGGCAGATGTTGGGCAGGTGTTGGGCTTGGGCAGGTGTTGGGCTTGGGCAGGTGTTGGGCAGATGTTGGGCAGGTGTTGGGCAGGTGACCACATATCTTTTCACGTACGTTCAAGAAATTGAACCTCTGCCATCTTGGTGAAAGGGGAGTGTGCTGTCAGATGTGCCACCATCCTCGATACTCTAGGGGTTACACTCACTTTTGCTCTCTGCACCCCTGGACATATTCCAGGGGTGCAGAGAGCGTAAATGAGCGTAATCCCTGAGATATCGAAGATGCTGTGACACCAGACCACCCTTGCTGCTACAATTCTTAAACTATAAAAAATGTATCTTTAGAAATTTGAAGAGCACTGGAATCATCCATAAAAAAAATGCATATTTAGCTGTCATTAGGTCTCTGTGACATTCGTCTCACAAATAACTGCTCAGTTTTCTGTTTAAGTTTTGTCTGGGCAATGACTGTCAAAAATATACAGTATATATATAATATCAAGTATATACCTGCAACAGGTGCACAGTGCACCATGATTGGATATTGTCAAGGTCCAATAGATCGTAAATTTTGTGGGGCATACTTTTTCATTAGTTGCAATTGAAGTGTACAGACATCAGCAAAATATTCGCAAAGTGGCTGTGCTGTACAACTAGATGCTTTTTGAAAAAAAGACCTATGTCTTGGTTCAACAGGAAAAGGACTTATAAGATTGTTGGCTTAAGGAATGATTTCATTTTAGGCTGGATTTGCAGGCCTAGACCGACTTCCCAACATCATCGGAGGAAGTGATCTTGTTCCACATGCAGCATCACAGCGACGTGAACTTGACGAGTGGTTCAAGGAAGCGCAGGAGGTGGGTTATCTACCCTGGTCAGCTGGGTACCACCAAAAAACCTGTTCTCAAAATATATAGAAAAACAGCCTGATTAATTAAGTGCCAAAATTACTTTGGTGTCTGACACTGAAAAAACATATACATTATATAACATTTATGTAAATATTGAAAATCTGTTGGACATCACATTAAACAAAAAATTAAAACTAAAACAAATTGATAAACAAAAGGATCTACCCTTTTTTCATTTGAATTCTTGGGAAATGGAAAAAAAATGCTTTAGAAAATAGATTCAGTTAGAAGTTGTTCTATGCATTCTGTCATTTAGCGATATAATGTATATAAGACCAATGTGGAAACTGAATACATGACCTCAAACTCATTGAAAATGCTTATAAAATAAAATTGAAAGTGCAAAACTTCAATTTTCTCCTTTTTGTGTAATTAAAAATTAAACTACTTATGTTCCAAGTAGACTTTTTAACTCAAATTTTCAAAATGCCATGTTTCAAAAATTTCTCAAAATTGAACAATTACACAATGTTCTCTACCAAGTTGTTTCCTAAAATAGCTCCTAACTAGTAATTGTATTTTGTATAGAGATGAGAAAATAACATCTGCATTTTAACATGAAAATAACTTATCAATATCTGTATACAGTAGAAGGGAGTGGGAATCTCTACTTTAGATATAAATATCTGTTTTTGTATCAATACAGGCGGAGAGTCAGCATTCTGAGGCGAATAGGCGAGCTCAGGAACTCTTTGAGTAAGTATACAGTAATGTTTATTGTCCTGTCCCCTACATATGAAGGGAGACATATTGTGTTAGTACTGGTTCATTTTCTAGTTCTCCTTATAATTTCTTTTCTGGGTCGTAACTTTTAAACAATATCTTGATGAAAATTGCTGTATACCTGCATCTCCTTCAGATATCTTGATGAAACTTGCTGTATACCAGCATCCTTCAGATATCTTGATAAAACTTGCTATATACCTGCATCATCTTCAGATATCTTGATGAAACTTGCTATATACCTGAATCTCCTTCAGATACTTGATGAAACTTGCTGTATACCTGCATCACATTCAGATATCTTGATGAAACTTGCTGTAGACCTGCATCACCTTCAGATATATTGATGAAACTTGCTGTATACCTGCATCACATTCAGATATCTTGATGAAACTTGCTGTATCCTTGCATCTCCTTCAGATATCTTGATGAAAATTGCTGTATACCAGCATCCTTCAGATATCTTGATGAAACTTGCTATATACCTGAAACTCCTTCAGATACTTGATGAAACTTGCTGTATTCCTGCATCACCTTCATATATCTTGATGAAACTTGCTGTATACCTGAATCTCCTTCAGATACTTAATGAAACTTGCTGTATACCTGCATCACATTCAGATATCTTGATGAAACTTGCTGTATACCAGAATCTCCTTCAGATATCTTGATGAAACTTGCTATATACCTGAAACTCCTTCAGATACTTGATGAAACTTGCTGTATTCCTGCATCACCTTCATATATCTTGATGAAACTTGCTGTATACCAGCATCCTTCAGATATCTTGATAAAACTTGCTGTATACCTGCATCATCTTCAGATATCTTGATGAAACTTGCTGTATCCCTGCATCAGCTTCAGATATATTGATGAAACTTGCTGTATACCTGCATCTTCTTCAGATATCTTGATGAAACTTGCTATATACCTGAAACTCCTTCAGATACTTGATGAAACTTGCTGTATACCTGCATCTTCTTCAGATATCTTGATGAAACTTGCTGGATACCTGCATCACCTTCAGATATCTTGATCAAACTTGCTCTATACCTGCATCTCCTTCAGATATCTTAATGAAACCTGCTGTATACCAGCATCTCCTTCAGATATCTTGATGAAAATTGCTGTATACCAGCATCCTTCAGATATCTTGATAAAACTTGCTGTATACCTGCATCATCTTCAGATATCTTGATGAAACTTGCTATATACCTGAATCTCTTTCAGATACTTGATGAAACTTGCTGTATACCTGAATCACCTTCAGATATCTTAATGAAACTTGCTGTATACCTGACTCTCCTTCAGATATCTTGATGAAACTTGCTTTATACCTGAATCTCCTTCAGATACTTAATGAAACTTGCTGTATACCTGCGTCTCCTTCAGATATCTTGATGAAACTTGCTGTATACCAGCATCTCTTTCAGATATCTTGATGAAACTTGCTGTATACCTGCATCATCTTCAGATATTTTGATGAAACTTGCTGTATACCTGCATCTCCTTCAGAAATCTTGATGAAACTTGCTGTATACTTTCATCACCTTCAGATATCTTGATGAAACTTGCTGTATACCAGCATCTCCTTCATATATCTTGATGAAACTTGCTGTATACCAGCATCTCCTTCATATATCTTGATGAAACTTGCTGTATACCAGCATCTCTTTCAGATATCTTGATGAAACTTGCTGTATACCAGCATCTCCTTCATATATCTTGATGAAACTTGCTGTATACCAGCATCTCCTTCATATATCTTGATGAAACTTGCTGTATACCAGCATCTCCTTCATATATCTTGATGAAACTTGCTGTATACCAGCATCTCCTCCAGATATCTTGATGAAACTTGCTGTATACCTGCATAATCTTCAGATATCTTGATGAAACTTGCTGTATACCAGCATCTCCTCCAGATATCTTGATGAAACTTGCTGTATACCAGCATCTCCTTCATATATCTTGATGAAACTTGCTGTATACCAGCATCTCCTCCAGATATCTTGATGAAACTTGCTGTATACCAGCATCTCCTTCATATATCTTGATGAAACTTGCTGTATACCAGCATCTCCTTCATATATCTTGATGAAACTTGCTGTATACCAGCATCTCCTTCATATATCTTGATGAAACTTGCTGTATACCAGCATCTCCTTCATATATCTTGATGAAACTTGCTGTATACCAGCATCTCCTTCATATATCTTGATGAAACTTGCTGTATACCAGCATCTCTTTCAGATATCTTGATGAAACTTGCTGTATACCAGCATCTCTTTCAGATATCTTGATGAAACTTGCTGTATACCAGCATCTCCTCCAGATATCTTGATGAAACTTGCTGTATACCAGCATCTCCTCCAGATATCTTGATGAAACTTGCTGTATACCAGCATCTCTTTCAGATATCTTGATGAAACTTGCTGTATACCAGCATCTCCTTCATATATCTTGATGAAACTTGCTGTATACCAGCATCTCCTCCAGATATCTTGATGAAACTTGCTGTATACCTTCATCACCTTCAGATATCTTGATGAAACTTACAGTAAACCTGCGCCACTCACAAATATCTTGATGAAACTTGCAGAATGTCTGCTTCCACAAATATCTTGATGCGATCTTGATGATATCTTGCTGTTAATAGGTCACAGTGACATTGATTTCAAGGTCAAAGGTCAAATAAGTACATACTTTTCAGTAACATCTAGCCTGGGCCGTAACTTTTAAACTGTGAAAGATTTCTTTATGATTCTTGCAGTATAACTATTTGCTAATAAGGGAAGACAAATGTTTTTGTTCACAAAAACAAATCTCGAGTAAAATCTGTGTTGTGATATAATTATGTTGTGTTACATGTAAGATTTGGTGTCAGGACAGCAGTAAGTCCTCCTGTCTGTTATTGGTACAGTGTAGAAACAGGCTTTTTAATTTCCACAAATACATTGATGACATTTCAAAGATTGGACAAATTTTCATTTATTTAATTAAATTTTACATTGCAGTTTGGAAATATATACCTATATGTATTTCTGTAGTGCAAAAATAACTGCTGTGGTTTTGGAAATGTTTTAACTTGTCAATAACCATATAACTGTAATATACATTAGGAATGTATAACAGATTATAGCACTCTGTATACTCTATGTACTGAAGGCACATACATAGTTTAATATGTAGGATGCTATACCGTTATTATGGATCATTTTCTTTTCTCTTTCAGATGGGAACCTCGATCTCATTCTAATAATAGATCTCGCTGATGACATTATACTTGACCAGTCTGAGTTAGGTGACTGGTCACTACTTCACGGCATGGCAGACATCTTTCACCAGTGTGATTGGTCGTTTCAAAAATTGGTAGCTGATTGTATCGCCATTACCAGTTCTATACTGACAAATCGGGTACAAAATTATCAACTTAATGGACGCGTACAGCACTTCCTTCATTACTTTTGTGAATAAAAAATATGCCTATGTGTCGGGGATACGAAGTGATCACTAATGTTCAATGATACACCACACATTACTGGGACAGTTACCAAATTGCAAAATCCAAAAATTGTCTAGAAATTACATAAATAATTTTCCATATTTGACAAAAAATGGTGTATTATGACATAATTCAAGCATTTCTAGGAAAGCATTTACTGCTTGTTATCATTCACTTTATTTTATCAACTTACTTTTCAGAAGAGAACATTACGTTACATTTCACTCAACGTGAATGTCTTGCATCATGTGTGGATTTTTTGTGCAATTGAACTCAAATTCATGATCAATGCTATCACAGATTTACACCAAAATAGTGTGCAAATTTTAAGTGTTAATTAAACTTTAAATATTTTCTTATGTTTGTTTTATTAAAATGAATTGTTAAATATTCTCTTGTCTTAAAGTTCTTTGTATCCAGGGAGATAAACACATCATTCGAAAATGGCAGTGCTTGAAATTGGTTATTTTCCATGAACAATGTTAATAGAATATTCTATAGCCATGTGGCTACATGTATGTGTGTAGTTTGTGTTTGCATAACATTCATTATGAAACTTCAATTTCACAAACAGTCAAACTAGATCACAAGTTCAGTATTAGGGTTCAGGTAGATAATTTTACTGGAATAACCCTCATTTCCATTTGATGTCTCCGAAGTTACTTTTACGATACAGTAAACTTTCTGAGACTGGTTCTTGATTTTCTCCATTTTCCATAAAATAGAAGGCCCAGAGGGGCTCTATCGCCCACCTAGATAATTAAACAACCATGGGGAAACATTTTCAGTAAACATAACACTGCAACTATTTCCAAATATTGTCTCTGTCAGTCGGCAACACCCATCCTCCATTAGGTCCTTTTTTCTAACCCCATCATTTACCTCAATTTCTGTGCTCAAAGGGGAAGGGGGGGTGGGCATACACTTCTTTGCCCAAGGATTCTCTGAACCAAATTTGTTTCAAATCCCTCCAATCTTACTAAGGGAGAAGATTGACGAACTTGAGTCCTTTTTGCCCAAGGATGCTTTGGACCAAATTTGGTTAAAATACCTCCAGTGGTACTGAAGAAGAAGGATTTTAACGATTTACCTCAATTTCCCTTACCGGGCCCTAAGAGATCAAATTACTAGTAATAGCCCTTCAAACTCGCAACTTACATGCAAATAGCATTACTCTCGACCACATGGACCTTAAGTGTAATTATTTTTAAAGATTTCAAAACATTTGAACCATGTGATCTTGAAAGGGGGTCATACCCATTGATATACCTTTACTTCAACAAATTCTGTGAAGATTTACCCCGTCTCACCTTGAAAGTGGGCCAAAGTTACTTTGAGAATCCTTCTACCCAACAAACTACAAGCTTAATATAATTAATCTGGGCATATTTATAGATCATAAGTATGGTTAAAAGAAGGTTTTTTCCCTTTTTACCACTGTGACTTCAAAATGAATCAAAATTACTTATTTGCTAAAACTAGTTCACTGCAATTTGAACACATACGATTATCATATAAGAAAATTAACAAATATCAGTTTTTAAAAGAATAATTTAATATTTTATTTCAATATTTAGGTAAATGTGATGGATTCACATGCAGTTAACATATAGAAAAATATGAATGTGCTTTAAACATTATAAAATCTCAATAAAGGTTTCTTGTTATTTTGAGTATAACCACCTTAAATTGGAAAAGTGGATAATTTTAAATTGAAATAATTTACATTTTTGTCAGATCATATTTCCATCATAATGAATCTGTTTCATATTTCCAAACTCTCTGGTGAATGAAAATCATTACAATTTAAGTTTCATATATTCCACTTAATGAAAATCACTTATCGAAGTGACACATCTCTTTTTCAAGGCAATGAATATCGCTACAAATAATGTTTCCTATTTCCAATACATTGGCAATCATTGATAATGTTTTATACAAATTTGTAACTCTTCACACAATTACCATACAATAAATATAATGGTACATTATAACACAATATCTATAGTCGACCAACTTGTCTTTCAAACAAAGAATCCCTATTATCACATACTTCACATTTCAAACAAACTAACAATCATAACAGCAACTCTTTTAAGGATCCCCGTACCACTGCCTAAATAATAGCAACTCTTTTAAGGATCCCCGTACCACTTCCTAAAATTATAACTTGGTATTGGAAACTGTTTTTTTGCGGCATGACTATAGCTTTAGTGAATTATTTCAAAAAAGAAAACCAATTTCGGGGATTTTTCTCTTAGAAATTGTAATTATAAAGACTAAATAAACAATAATTATCAATAAAAGTAATCTATGTGTAAAAAAATCAACGGGTCTCGACCAGGATTCGAATCCCAGGCTTCATATTGTTATAACAACACTCTAACTGATTGAGCTTCCTAGTCAACAGAAGTGTCCATGTCCAAATGTGCTACAGTTCAATATCCAAACGAAAGTTAAGGGGAGGTTACTCTTTATAGGAAAAGCCACAGTGCAGTGGGGCAGGGGTCCTCAACACCATTTCCTTCCTCTTATCAGTTTCATCCATACAGAATCATGGTCAAGATTAAATCACTCACCCCTGAAGACACATTTGAACTCTTACATTACTAAGGTTGGAATAGTTCATTATGAAATTCCAGGGGTGAATGAGTTAAATGCACATCAGTAACTGAGATTCACCACAAATTCAATTTCTTAAAATGGTCAGCAGTTATCACACATTAGACTTTCTGGTGAAGATTGCGTTTGAAACAAAAATGTCATTTATAACACTCCTCACAACATTGTTTCACATTATCTCTAAAAACGTCTCATCATCCATGCAGACCAACAAGTCATTCATAAACAATTGAAAATTGTGTTCATTATTTCCTGGGATCTGACCAAGATGATGGTACTGTTTGCCCACGGCTCCCGGAACGAACACGATGTGCGGAGTGGTTGGCCCTGCCTTCGTCCCGAGACCGGGCTGGGTGATGGGAGGGTGGATCTGGGGCAGAATGGTCACTCCCTACATTTTGACCTTTCTTGCGTCGTTGACCACACATGGACTTCAGCATCTGCAGCACAGCTGTTGGGGCCACGTTCATCTTCAGGAGGTCAAGGACAATTCTAAAACAGACAATGGCACCAAGTTTAGAGACTAAAACGGCTTTAAATAGACCCTTGAGAGAATGTTTTTTGACTTCGCAAAATGAGCTTTAACTCTTCGGCTTTAAAGGAAATGTCTATTCTCCATGTGTTTTTAAACTATTAGATTTCATGGAAATGGTAATTTAAAGTCTGAATTCGCTAAATGTGAAATCCCTGTATAACTTGACAAAGGTTAGTTTGAAAGTATATATACATTATAATAATATATAAAGTTCGACCATCTTACTATATGTATTATACTGGTAGAAGTATTTTTCAGTCTATATGAAACAGAACAAGACAGTAGGGGAAAGAAGACACCTTGAATGATGTGATCCTCACCATCCATGATTTTATTTTTCTTCGGGTCCAGTATTCAAATAATAAAAATCATTTAAGACACCACCATCACTATCTTATTAATCAATGTATATAATTATGTTGTACCTGTCCTTTATCCTTCCTTGTTCACATTTATTAATATATCCTAGAATAGTCCTTAGGTGAAGGGACTGCAGTGAGTAAACACTCAAAACAATTTGAATTGTTGTAATACAATGCAAGTTTACTTGGTTGTGTTTTGTTCTCAGAAGAAACAAAATAATACATATTTCATGGATATTGATCATGATGTTTATATTTATAATATTGATTATTAAATACATCCATGATTTAATTAATAGATTTCAGCTGTACCACATACTTGAAAACTGCTGGATCTATGACAACTCCCGCTAGGTCTGCCAATTCGTACAGCTCTTCTTCCTCCAGGGACAGAACATTTTGACTCAGCAGAGTAAAATGCATCGTGTTTTGGGTCCGAAACGACATGGTTAGATCTGTGTACTTTTCAGTTGATCCACTGAAACACAAATACAACACACATCAATTTATATATGATTTAAGTTTTAACATGTAATTTTATAACCAGCTTGAATGGAGGTTCAAAATCCTCTTGAGCAAAAATTTTGCATGTAAACGCTGTAAGAATTGAGCTAACTGGTCGCCGACGATCGGCCCTCTCCAGTTCCCTTACACTTCTCACTTCTTTTTCCAAATCTTTACCCTGATGACACACCTAATTACAACTCAGGTTTCGAGTGCTCGTCAATTTTGTAACAGGAAAGAGAAATGCAAGGGCAAGACCAGGACTTGAACCTGGACCCTCAGTCTCTACCAGTGGCAGATCCAGAGGTTTTTTGGGGGCACCCCAGCCTCCCTGAGAATTTCTTTAAAAATAATGTATTTTCACACAATTTTCCTCCACATGGAAACCCCCACCTTGGAAATTTGACCCCCCGCCCCCCCCCCCGGAAAGGTACCTGGGTCCGATCATTAAGCTACCTTAAGCTACCTGGTCGCTGATTATCAGTCCAGGTCTGCTAAAGTAACTTTTTCAATTCTGATAACGCAAAGCTGTCATATTTATTTCATAAGGGAGAAAACATATATTGTGCAAAAATTCTGCCAAAGAATTTTAGACAGAGGATGACTTGCAATGTAGGACAAATGATTTAATCTGATAGTTGATAACCTACCGAAGTTTTTACTGGCAAATACCTGTGGATGTACACAGGTATCTGTAATAATCAGGTCTGAGAAAAACCACTTACTTGCGTATCATACGCAAACTCGCCTATTATACGCCAATAGGGGTATGGATTTGTTACTAAAAATAGCCAAAATTACTTTAATCTTAACTTTTTCAAATTGTTTGTCCAAGTCGCATTTATTCTTTCATGAAACATAATACAAATGCAAAAATAAACTTTATTTGTATGTGGGAAAGTACCATAAATAGATGCAATACCTCTGGTAAAATTACATAAAGTTTCTAAGTAGCCAACGCTTTCAGTCAACATCTTTTAGCAAAAATATATTTACCATGTCGTAAATTAATGCGATTATCAATAATATCTTGCAAAAGTTACTGTTAAAGCGATTTGGGTTATTTTTAGTAACAAATCCATACTCCAACTTGCTTAAAATAGGCTATTTTGCGTATATACATGTACGCAAGTTGGTGGTTTTCACCAACCTGATAATAAGGGCAAGACTCAAATAAACTATTTGTATCCTGTCAAAATGTCTAAGTCTAGTGTCAGGGCCAGAGGAAACTCAGGCTATATTGTACTTGTATATTGTATTCGCATGTGATTGTTCTGTTGTGCGCNGGAAAATGGTGAAAATACATGATTTTTAAAGAAAATTCTCAGGGTGGGGGGGTTTCCTGAAGCCCAAAAAACCCCTCTGGATCCGCCACTGAGTATTTCTAATATCATGAATTTAAAATTAAAACCAAAAAATAAAGAGAGTGCAACGTGGATTTTGGATTTGAATTCAATGAGTTAGAAATACCATATACTAGCCCGAGTCCTCTGGCCCTGACACCAGACTTAGACATTTTGATAGATGTATGTCTGGTGTGACATATATCCGTCAAAATGTCTAAGTCTTGTGTCAGGGCCAGAGGAAACTCGGGCTAACCAGTTGCAAGCCCCGCGCCTACTACAAAACAAGAGGTATTTTATGGCGGTGTTGGCCTACATTCCGTTTATCCACAGATCAGTACAGTCCAATTTCTGAGTTCAATATAGAAACAGTTGAACAGAAAAGTACCTTATCTACAACATTGTCACATGTTAAGCATCGTACATGCTTAATCTACTAAAAGTACTCACAAAATCCATCTCGTTCTTTCTTACCAGTCGACAGGAAGCCGCTTGTGCTCTTAACAATAATACCATTCAAACAGAAGTTACATATAACTCGAACTGGAGGAATGTGTATGCACAAACATATCATATTTTTTATCAAATAATAAAATCAATTGACAATTTCAAATAGTTTAGCATGAAAGCAGTTTTTACAAGTAATTTTTAATATTGTAAGCGGTTAATAGGGAAGGCGTAGTGACAGGATTCAGTAATCCGGACTAAATTCGAAACGAGATAAAATTTCCTAAGCCCCTTTCGCATACCGGTTCAACCTGTTTGTCGTTTTCTAATGTAACATTTTCGGGTATAAATCCTGGCGGACATGTAAATGCTTATGCAGGCCTTGCAAAGCTTGTCAAGGCTCGCCTAAAATCAACATCAGATTTTTAGGTCCGACATTATGTCATAAACGCACGACTCTGATCTAACCGTTTCAACCGTTTGGATCGCGATAAACGCATTAATGCGGCCATGGCCTTTTGTAGACATAAAATAATATTTGTTTATCAATAATAACGTTTGTTAAATTTTTGTTTGTGTTTTACTATGAACAGTGTTTTTATTTATTGACATACTGACCTATTTTTTTTAAACTATTTAATGTTTTCTTTATGTCTTTCCACAAATATCTTTCAACAACAATATTGCAATTTGACTTCGGAAAAAAAATAACCAGCTGAAACTTAAACTAACTATGATTTAGTTAGTAACAACTTCTCTTGACATCCTCTTCCCACTTTCACCTTTATGACAGAACCCATTTTGATGTTCCGTAAGGATCTGTGCTGGAACCGAAACGCAATACTAGCTCTATCAGAAACCAGCTGGTGACGACTGCTGCAGACTATGATTGTTATGCTGGTGTCACCTTAATGTATATAATCATCATACACTACTCGGGACAATTGAAATAACAGGTAAAACAAACAGACCTCGGTTTTTTTCCAAACACCAGAAAAACAACTTGCCCCATTCCAGCTCAGCAGTGTCATAAACGCCTTGCCATTTAGTTAGGGATATCTGGGTAGTCTCCTTTGATAGTTTGTAGACTTTGGGAAAACCAGGCTGTAAGAGTAGTTAAATCAGGTGTTATTGGCCACAAACAATTGTAAACATTAATATCATTGTTTCTAAAATGTAAAGTCTTATAATTCACAGGTGAAAATTGAAATAATCTTTTTTTTTTTTCTCAGGGGTGTAGAAAAGGAAAATTCCATCCGACAGTTTTTCGAATTGGGTTAAACCCGAGGCTTGCCAAAAGTTTTGCCTCCATTTGAAAATCAAGGTGGCGGAATAACCCCACTTTAAAGCCCTCGGCACGGAAAACGCATTTTTCTCTCCTTCCAATAATCGGAAAAGTTCAGAAGCCATGAAAATGCGTTATGGTAGTAACCGTTTTGGAATATTAACTCTTCCTTTGAGCTTTTCGGAACACAAAGAAAATCGGTCTTCGAACTTTAGCATACCCAATTTCATTAAACAGAAAAATTAAACCCATCATTCTGACTAATACGGTTAAAACATTATTTTAGTTGTTAACTCGGGAACATTCTAATGACGCGATGCGAAAATTGCCACGCTTTTTTTGTGACTTCGCAGCTAATTCTGGTGATTGGAATTAGAGAACAATACTCGTTCATATCTAAGGTTGTAGGAAAGAGATATTCCACTTTTGGGATTGTCAAATGGTTGCAAAACACTCGGCAATCCTCGGAGTTTACCCAATTTGAAAGCTCCTTGAAAACGAAAGAGTTTTAGAATCATACCCACACAGTAATAAGATTATATTACAGATGTATTGCCACTATTTTACCTTAAGTAGGATATTTCATGATATACCTTCAAACGTTCCTCTATATTTTCATTATTCAGACTTTCCGGTGTTAGAAAGTTGGAAATGAAGAACTGGCAATACATATCTAATGTGTCTTTCTTGTCCATAATTCTTGAAAGAAAAAAGGTGCCAAGCGACCTGAAGAGCATTTTGATGACAATGTTCTCCACGGCATCCTCAAGTCGGAGACAGCTCTTCTGAGATTACTCTATTCCTTTGTTGTGTTCTTTGGACAAGTGTTTCAGCGGTCCCAGTGTCTGCTGCATTTTATACTAGTGATCATGAAATCAAGCATACGCACACCAACGCATCGCACTCGGATGGGCACCAGAAGGAAAAAGGAAGAGGGGAAGGTCAAAAGAGGCATGGAAGAGAGCCATTTAAAGAGAAAGGAAAAAAATGGGTTTTGGGTCATGGACAGAGGCAGCAAGATCAGCCTTGGACAGAAAAACATGGAGAGGACTTGTCTATGACCCCATTCTCTACTCGGAGCGAGGAACTAAGTCAAGCCAGGATCATGAAATCATATTCTTCAAGCGTCTGAGTTATGCATGGATACGATATATGTGTATAAGCCTATTCTTGGTTCCAGTTTCATCTGACGAACAGGAGGCAATAGGTGATATAACACAGAACTGTCTCGGATGACAGAACTCTTGCCCTCGTGTTCCATGCGGATGATATGTGCTGTAATGAGACACAGGTCTTTCTTTATTAGAAACCAGTTGGAGAGGTATGTTCCTGAAACAAAGTTTTTCTATCATTCTATTGCTAATGCTACCCAAGTGTGTTATGGTTATCACACTCTACCTCAGGACAATTGCGATACATTTTCTGCTCGATTGGAAGGGTGCATTATATTTTGCATCAGTGTCTAGATGTGTTCCGAACAAATTGAAATTGAAGCGAGGACAACTCATTTTAAAGTATTTCTAAACACCCGAAAAAGGACATCCTCTCATTCCAGCTTACCAGTGTAATAAAGAACATGCAATTTGTGATGAACTTTGGTATCTTTTTTGATAGTTCGCTGACTAAGGAGGGCCACGGTGTCCTAGTGGTTCAGGCGCCTGAAAGTATGGAGTACTATAGCCCTCCGCCACTGGATCGCTGGTTCGAGGCCTACGTGGAGCAGTCGCCAGGTAATGGCCGCAGGTCGGTGGTTTTTCTACGGGAACTCCGGCTTTTCTCTACAACCAAACCTGGCACGTCTTTAAATGACAATAGCTGTTAATAGGACGTAAAAAGCAAACAAACAAAAGTCGTTGATTATGGAAAAACAATAAGTAATATAAGTCACTGAATCACGTAAACTCCAAATCAGGAATATTTAGGAATATTTTGGTAATCAGGAATATTTAGAAGCCTGCAAGACACTGGTCAGTGTACTGGGAGGTCAATATACCATGGTCATGGTGAAATCTTCCCGACACCATTACCTTCTGAATCTAAATTACCTGCTACAACAATTTTGAAACATAGTTCTTGTGTTTATTACTCTGACAAATAACCATTGACCATAACTTGCATTTTCCCACCTTTTAGAAAAATATGTTATAAATCTTAAAATATTACCTGAAGTTCTCATTTTCTTTGCAGATAATAAAATACCGTAAAAGACCTTCATACCAGACTGAATCGTCAACTTTATGTAAATCTAAAGTCACTGCTATTTCATGATAATTGTTTAGCTAAGCGTGTTTTTTATGTGTTTTTAATATTTGATGTAATTCTGATGTAATTTAATATTGGTGTGTTATTTCTAGCCCTTCTCTGTTTTTCGCTGATTGAATGTTTTTGTTTCTAAATGATATTTTATTCTGTTGTTTCAATTGGTTTTAGTATCAGCCATCCTCGATACTCCAGGAACTACGCTTACTTTCTGCAACTCTGGAATATGTCATAGCAACATTGAAGACACGCGGCTAGCTATTCAATCTGACCAATCGCTAGGCTGATACTGTCCTTTGAAGGTTACAGAGGAGCGACACTCGACTTTAAATCCATTCAACTTTACCGTTACGCGCCGATAAATTCTTTTCGTGTATATCAAATGATCGAATTAGTCTTCTCGTCTCATCCACAAGGTGACACACACCAGAATGGCACTACACGCCAGCGCGACAAGAACGCATCGGCGAATTTCAACCGCGACCCTCGTGAGGACAACATACGACTACTGGCCAGAGGTGGAGGGGTTCATCTTCGCGAAAGGACCACAGTGCGCGCTTCGATCGCGAGCCACCTAGAGGGAATCACGACTTGTCGTATTAGGGTTGTGTGGAGGGACTTTCCATTATCTCATGGAATATATGCAGATCGATCACGGACAAATTAGATACAGAAGAGTTTGTAAATATTATTACCAAATATGATGTTGTATGTTTGTATGAAACGTGGGTTGAGAAAGAGGATGAAGTGGAATTGGAAGGTTATGACAGCTGTGTGTTTCCTAGAATGCATGGTAAAGGCGGTGGAATTGTAATTTTTATTAAATCAACTATCTGCGATTATTGTAGAGTAATAGATAACATAAATGACAACATTGTATTGTTAAAAATATCCAATAACATTAGAAATAATGTCAGTGAAATATATGCATTTGCTTGTTATTTCCCACCTGTAAATAGTGTTTTTTATCACAAATGTGAAATTGATATTTTTGCCAGACTTGAGGAAATGGTGTGTGAATATAAAGGATTAGGTAAAGTGATTGTACTAGGAGATTTCAATAGTAGAACGGGTATTTACGACGATTATATAAGTAATGATATTGTTAATCAAGGGCCTGCGCATATTATTTCAAATATTGTAAATTATGTTAATGATTCTGTACCATCCAAACGTTCCAATTCTGACCTGCATATTAACCAATTTGGAAGACATCTTCTTTCACTGTGTAAATCTACTTCCTTGAGAATTGTAAATGGACGACATAAAGATGATCCTAATGGTAGTATAACTTTTTTGAATAGTAGGGGATCTAGTCTAATAGATTATGTATTGACTGTTGATGATTTCTAAAAGAATATTACTCACTTTGAGAGTGGAATATTTAATGTTTTTTCATTTGTATTACTGTGGATTCATTTGAACAAAACGTAGTTGTGCCTGATTATAATGATAAAGATAATATATATATACACATGTTGAATGGAATGGGGTTCATGCAGAGAGAGCATTGCATTTACTA